CCGCGTGTACACCCAAAAAAAAGCCCTGCCCCAAACCCTAAGGCCTAAATCCAAAACCCTAAACCCCAAACCCCAAACCCAAAACCCTAAACCCTAAACCCCAAACCCAAAACCCTGAACCCCAAACCCTAAACCCTAAACCCTATACCCTAGACCCTGAACTTCGATCTTCTTGTTACTAGGAGGATCGAAGTCGGGGGCCGGGCTCTGTGCCCGAAGAAGCAGCTCAGGGGCTTAGGACTCGCTGGAGGGTTGGGGGCCGACTATAAAGGGACAATAGGAGGGACCCCTAGAAGGGACCTTTAGGGTTTAGGGTTCAGGGTTTAGGGTTTAGGGTTTAGGGTTTAGGCCCCTAATCCAAACACCCTATATAACCCTTATCTAGTCTCATAAAGCGCCTATATAACCTCAAGGGTCCATTTAAGGGTCCCTCCTTTAGTCCCTTGACACCAGAACCTGCCTTCTATAATGTATATAATAGGGGCCTGAATAGCTATTGTTTTTTTTCATAGTCCTTCTTAGGACTATAGTAGAAAAATAGTATAAGGGGCCTGAATAATTACGAATACTATTTTTGGGGGGTTCCTTCTTATGATTGTAGTATAAAATGGGCTCCAAAACCCCCTTTTTTAATTCTTAAGGCCCCTTATAGTAACGAGGCCACACAAAACAGCAGGCTATGGTGGGTTGAGGTCTTCCGGTTGCACGGTGCAGGCGAGAATTTCCTATCCTGCATTTTAGCTCTAGGCAGTTATGCTTTAGGAAGTTTAGGGTTTGGGGTTTCCCGACAGACTCATACGTGTCGGACCGTGGTAACCGTAATGACTTCTCATTCTAGAGAGGCAGGTCGGATCCTTACTGAGAGAACTTGCGCTTAGCCCTAAACCCGAAACCCTTGTTTAAGCCCTCAACCCTAAACCGCTACTGACCCTAAATCCTAATCCCCAAATCCGAAAAGCACCGAGCCCTACGTCTTACCCCCCAAACCCTAACGCATTAAGCCCTAACTCCTAAACCCCCACAGCCGAAACCCTTCTCGTAAGCCTAAGCCCCTTAAACCCCCCTAAAGCCCTTCGCCCTAGATCCTAGACCTCCACCGCTGAAGCCCTTCTCTTAAGCCTAAACCCCTTAAGCCCCCTAAAGCCCTTAAGCCCCAAATCCTACACCTTCGCAGCTGAAACCCTTCTCTTAAGCCTAAACCCCTTAAACCCCCCTAAAGCCCTAAATCCTAGACATCCACCGCTGAAGCCCTTCTCTTAAGCCTAAACCCCTTAAACCCCCCAAAGCCTTTCAACCCTGAACCCCAGACCTCCACAGCTGAAGCCCTTCTCTTCAAACCCCTTAAACCCCTAAACCCCTTAAACCCCTAAAGCCCTTAAGCCCCAAATCCTAGACCTTCACAGCTGAAACTCCACTTTCAACCCAGGCCTGCGCCTGAGCCCGACGTGCCAAAGTTGACGCCGTGATGCAGGCGGAAAATGACAACGAGGGGTTTCGGGTTTAGGGTTTATAAGGGTTTAGGGTTTAAGGTTAAGTGCCGTTAAGGGTTTAGGGTTTAGGGTTGAAGGTTCAGGGTTTAGGGTTTGGGGTTTAAGGTTAAGGGTTTAGGGTTGTCAGGCCACTGTCGACGACGGGGGAGGTGGGAACTCGGGACACAGGGGTATCTTTTGTCGTCACAGCCTCGCTGGCGCCTGTACCGGCGCAGGAAGAAGAGCCGGCAGCAGAAGCAGCCTGAAGCTTGACTTTGCAAAACCGAACGACATGGGAGAGTCCGTCATGCTTGCGAGGCAGCAGACGAAGGCGCAAGCCTCCGTCGTGCAAACTGTTGTGTTGATGGGAGCAGCCCAGGGAAACATTGCGTGGGACAGGCGAAGAGGACGCAGAGGAGGAGGAACCAACACCTCGGACGACCGTGAAGAAATCTCTCTCCGGCAGTCAAGGGGGCGTACACGTTCCAAGCAAACACGATGAACGACAGACTCGTGGGACTTCGGGAGGGTCACAGGTTGAAGAGTTTCGGGTTTAGAGGATTCGGGTTTGGGGTTGTTTTCGTTTAGGGGTAGTAGGACGTTCGGGCGTTAGGGTTTAGGGTTTAAGGGGTTGGGATGATGGGGGTTCGGGGTCATGGGCTTGGGTGTTTAGGTAGGGTTCTGGGGTTCCTAATGTCATAGCCGTAAACCATGAGACTCATCGCAGTAATGATGCCGGAAGCCATGACAGCAGAGCAGCACTTGTATCTCAGAGAAATCGCACGACGATCGCCAGTTGGCTTCGACGTGGAACCGTCAGCCCGTCCGACACTTGCTGGTTTCGGCGGTATATGCTCTGGAGCTCTGGATTACGTCCGTTTGCGTCCCTGGCAGTTCCATCACCGCGATATCCAATACAGGGTTATGGTTTCGGATTCCAAGACATAGTTTCTTTCCATGTTCTTATGTTATGCAGCCCCTTAAACCTTAAACCCTAAAGCCATCACAACTGCAGCAAGAGCACCGTGCACTCCATAGTTCAGCCCGCGGCTTCCGATGGCAGACCGCAATATCCGGGCCTCGTTTTGGGTTTAGGGTTTATGGCTAAGACAGTGCTTGGTCCATGTGTGGTTCAGCAGCAGCTTTGCAAGCTGAAGCGTAGCGCACATCTTGCAAGCAGAATCCGAAAGTCTCAATAAGTGTGCCTGGCCTTCCAAAATCCCAGCCTTCCCCAAACCTCGAAGCATCTTTAGGGTTTACAGTTTAGGGGTTAGGGTTTAGGGTTTAGGGCCCAAATTGGGCTGATTGGGGCCACCCCTGCACCAGAGTAGCCACAGAGAGGACAGGGCACAGCAACCACTTGCGAGCCACGCCCTCCATGGCGCCCGCGCGGATCCGCGATGATGCGCTCGTGGCGGTGGCCACCTTCTTGAGAAGCCACTTGCATGAAGAAGGGTTCCAGCAGTGGGAGCTAGGATTAGGGGGACCCTTGGGGATATAGACCCTCTCAATAAGGTCCCCTTTAAGAGAGCCCAAAGTAGGGTTCAGAAGGGGCACCCTTTAAGGGGTACCCCTAATAATACTACCTAAGCAGTTCGTGAACAAAGACGCGAGGCTCTAGAGCCTTCCCGTTCAAGATGGCTCAAATGTCGCACAGTGAGCCTAATGAGAGTGTTTGATACATGCAACATGAACCCTGAACACCCGAAACACCTCCCAGGCCCCCAAAACAACAAACCCCCCATGAACACACTTTGGCGGTTTCGTAGCGGATGTTCCAGGGCAGACGTAAGTGGGGTCTCTGAATATTGTGGATTTTAAGTTTCGATTGGGGATTAGACTATGGGTAGGTAGGTAGGTAGGTAGGTAGGTAGGTAGGTAGGTAGGTAGGTGGTAGGTAGGTAGGTAGGTAGGTAGGTCGGTTCGGTCGGTAGGAAGGCAGGCAGGGCAAGGCAGGCGGGCAGGTAGGTAGGTCGGTAGGTAGGTAGGTAGGTAGGTAGGTAGGCAGGTAGGTAGGGAAGGAAGGTTGGTAGGTAGGTCGGGAGGTAGGTAGGTAGGTAGGTAGGTAGGCAGGCAGGTAGGTAGGTAGGTGGGTAGGTTCCCAATCTGCAAATGCTTGACTCTTCCTACACCTTGCCTAGGTAGGTAGGTAGGTAGGTAGGTAGGTAGGTAGGTAGGTAGGTAGGTATAGGCAGGCAGGCAGGGAGGGAGGTAGGTAGGTAGGTAGGTAGGTGGGTAGGTGGGTAGGTAG